AATATATATATATATATATATATATATATATGATGCTAAAGAATAGAAGCATTTATGTAAAAGTTACATTTTAATGTTATACTCCCTCCGTCGCATAAAGTGTTACCCATTTTGACTAAAGTTGAAATTAAGAGAGGGATAATTTTGTGTTGACTTTCCAAAAATACCCCTGATGTGATGAGTAAAAGTAGGATGTGATGTGTAGATTATTAGAAAAAAGGTATGATGTGATAGGTAGGATTTGAAAAAGTACGGGGTAAAAGTGGTTTTTTAATAGAAATGGGTAAGAGATTGTGAGACACAATTTTTTTGAAACGTGTAAATCTTTTTGGGACTGAGGGAGTATTATAAGACAAGTCTTTTCACAAAAAATAACCAGTCCGAGCGATCGGTCTTGTCTTACTCGTCCGAGACAACCGATCCCTAGAACCACATTGTTTGCAATCGTTCCCGATCCGATTTTGATCTGTCTCGGTCGTTCTTTACTATCCCAATCTCTTTGCTCATCTATATCCCTCACTAGCAATTAAGCAAGGCCCTCAAATGCTATTTAATGATTAGTCTCAAGGACTGTTATGCGTTAATGGCTCAAAGGATAACAATCACTCACTCACGTTAACAATTTTCCTCATAATCCATTAACAAATTAACTTGCGTAGTGAATGAGTGACAATATCCACTCATGGTGTGAAAAAAAAACCTCTGTATCCTGTTGATTTCAAGTTTTATAAAAGTGGATAAGTGTTAGTTGTTATTTGGTGATACCTATCTCTTTCTTCCACTTACACCACAGTAATTTGAAATCTCAGTCCACCAAAAACGAAGAAAAAAAAATGAAAGTTATAAACTAGGGATTTTATACAGTTGTTTCAAGATTCAATAAATTACTAAAGGAAAAAAAGATTAAAGTATGACTAAAACATTGAATACATTCCAAAATATGACTTCCATGTTTTTATTCTCAAAATAGGATTTACATTATCAGGCATGATCATGTACATTACAAAAAAAGTATAGTAATATGCACGTGTACAGTGCCACATTATCACAGTGCAACGTTCTATGTCGGAAAACAAACATTAAAGTTATATTTTGGTACTATTCTCTATGTTTTAGTCCTATTTAGGGTGATTTCTAATTACTAAATGCTATTACTACTCATACGAAGTAATTTTTA